TCACTCTACCTCCTTCCGCTAAAATTTGTCATTTAATAATGATCTTCTCTATACAGCTCATCAGTTTTTATGTTAGGTCTGCATAGTACCAGGGAGCATGGGCATTATTTCTCTGGAAAGCAGATTCTGTGTCTCTTTAGTGACCTCTCAAGGTAGAATCCCTAAGGCATCTTGCTGTTCAAAGATTCAAGGATGTAGAACATTGATGAGATCAATACGGAATTGCAAGGGTGCACTAGCATTGAAATTGGCCACACGAGGGCGCCATTTCTTTTCCCCAGATGTCCATAGCAGCATTTGGGGCCACAGATGTGAAATGCTATTTTGGACACAGTAATTAAACCACATTTAGTGCAATTTACCAAAAATAAGTGAAATGGTTTGGTGGAATAATAAATTCTATCATTTTTTTAACCCCCAATACAAAGAGGGAAACCTTTTAATAAAATAAATTGGTTTTCCAGCAGGCACTTGCAGGAATTTCTCCTATTCCTTTGTGGATGATGGCATTTGAAAATCAGAAATGCTATATTAAATTTTCTTAAGCTCTCCCCATTATTTTGCAAGGGAGCATCCTAATGAATGCTTCTGAAAAAGTGATAGTAATTGAGATGAAATGATCTTGAGTTTCCTTTCTCTATCAGTCAGTGTCTGGTCAAGGAAAACAAAAAACCACATTACATATTTCAATAGAGGAAATTTAATCTGGAGAACTGATCTCACAGACATGGGAGGTGGAGAGGTGGGGGAATGGGGGGGATGTTACTAGGTTGATACCTGTAAGAGGGTGCGGTGAGGGTGGTTCTGTGATGCTGAAAGTAGATGGGTACACTTCATGCCAAGGTGAGGGCTTCTCGGTGAGCAGCTGCACCCCATCCCAGGCCTTCAGCTCCCCCTTTAGCGCCCCCTGCTGGTAAAACATAACACAGAGTCAACCACCCAAAGAGAGATCTCTAATCCCAGCATCACTGAGCAGAACAGGCAGAGGTCTCTTTGGAGCCAAGATGTCATTGCTTAACAATTCACAGCCTACCCCTCTGACTAGTCATCTGCTGCACAGAACACACTGCCTGACTATGTCTGAAGATTCCTACCAAAGTAACAACTTTTTGTTTTGGCTATAGATGTTCTCATTTTCCATTACCATTCACTTTTGGACATGACCATACTAAGAAATATCTCAAAGAACCCTTTGGGTTTCAAACATAATTCTCCTGAAATAGAAATCTGATTTATCTTATAATCAGATCAACCAATATAATACCCCCTTCTCTACCTGCTAGTTCAGGGGGATTAGTAGTCCCCAAATGGCTAACTGGAAATCTCTCAAACCAGTGGAACAATTTTTATGCCACTGGTAGAAGTATTGCTCTGTTATGAAAATAGATCTACAAACCAGAAAAGCCCATAGTGTCCAGAACAGAAAGAAAACATTCAGTGAGTAGATACTAGATACGGTAGAGAGAAGCCACTCCTGTTCCACCGTTGGTTTCTGGACCCAGGAGCTCTGGCTATGGGAGAAATAAGACCACAGGCTGTTCGATGATTCAAAGCACACGTGACACCCTGTGGAACAGAACCCGGATCTTCAGGGTGTTTTACCAAATAGTACTGCCCTTGAGGTTTCCATAGGCCATTCTACTCTCTATCAGGCCGTTTGCTCTTGGGCAACGGTGTTTTTAGTGAAACCAATGAATTTGGACCTTAGGCCACCATGTGTTGTGGTGTATGTGTGTGTGTGTGTGTGTGTGTGTGTGTGTGAAATGAGTTTTTTGGTTAAAAAGAAAATTTGAATACTTTGTCTTATTCTAAGTATGCATGGGAATAAGGCATTTTACAAATTTAAGGATGGAAATCTGTCTTAGTCTATTTTCTCTTGCTATAACAAAATATCTGAGAGTAGATAACTTATAAAGAATAGAAGTTTATTTGGCTCATGGTTCTGGAGTCTAGGAAGTCCATGGGGTTGGCATCTGGTGAGGGCCTTTTTGCTGTATCATCATAACATGGTGGAGGGCATCACATGGCAAGGCAGCACACCACCAGGTCAAGCTTCTCTTCCTCTTCTTATGATGCCACTGATGCCGATACAGGGACCCTACCCTAATGACCTCCTCCCATCATAATTACCTCTATGAAACCCTCACCCCAATGCCATTAACATATGACTTTGGGATAAAGTTTCCAGTGCATGAACTTACAGGGGACACTTCAGAAGGTAGCAAAAAACGCCATCCAACGTATGCTTTTGTGATAGTCAACACACATTTTGGCAGAGACTAGTGCAGTGGGTGACAATCTCCTGCCCTTCCCCATCCCACCCACTTTCTTCTTTGTTTCATGGTAGAGCTTCTGTTTATTTGAGGACAGATATTTATGAGCCAAGGTGTTTACTGAGGGTGAGTAAGGTTTTCACCATGTCTACATTTCAGTTTGTGTCTCTAAGGAAGAAGAGGGGGAAGGGAGTAGGTGAGAACATACTTGTTGAGGCAAATGTTTGTCTGGAGTTAGTTTACCTTCAACTTTTCCCTGAGCATCATGACTTCGTGAAAAATGGTTGTCCCACACCTGCCTACATTCTATTATAATGCATATGTATGCTTACTCCAGGGGAGAAGTATAGAAATGTGTAACTTTTATTCAAAAGAATTCAGAGATGAAGCAAGTGCCTTCTATTTGTTCAATGTTGTTATGGCAACGGTGTTTAAATCTAATGTTAGTTTTCAAGGTGAAACACCTTGAATGTATGGTACCAATACCAGACCTAACACTAATCCTGCCTGATATTTTTACAAATATTTAAAGCATTGTAAACTCACTCTAACACGGACCATTTTAGGACTGAATTCTAAGAACCAAATCCCAAGGGGGGGTATATCTAGAAGCCACACTCTCCACACATCCACCCAGTTCTCAATGGTTGCTTGGTTTTGTGCAGATCAAAGGCCACCTCTCTCCCTCCCCTTTGGTTAATTGACTTTTTCACATGTCAGTAGCTTACTTTGTGGTCCAATTCTTATCACCCTGATGACTATGGAGAGAAGAAAATTGAACTATTCTTTAAATATACATATTCATGATTTTTTTTCAATAAACACTTAATAAAGAACTATTGTATCCCAAGAATTGGGCCAGCACTCAGCATACTCCTGCACCAGGTGTTTTGCAGGTCAGGCCAGTCCTTAGTGGTCTGCTGGGATAATAATAACTGGATCAAAAAGGTAATTCCCTGGTTCACCTACACATGGAATCCCAGTACCATTCTAATCCCTCTCCCTGGTTTGGGTGTTCAGTGGAGTGTGTCAGGTACCTACACACAGCAGTCTTCCTCCACCTCTCCTTGAAGGCCAAGAATTCACCCTTTGAGGCCATGCTCCTTGGGAACCTGTGAGTTCTGCACAGGTCAGCACTGAGAGATTCAAAGGATGAGGGCAATGCCAGAAACAGGAAAGCATGCTATTGAGGGCAGGAGCCTTGTGGAATGCAAAGCAGGAGTCCAAGAACTTGCCCTGACCTGGACTTGGAGCAGGAATCCCAACCAGGATTCTTTGGGCTCTGCACTGCCAGCTCCGAGGTGCTCCATTCACACAGCCCAGAGGAGTGGGTTGTGACTGAGCATGTGCATCCTCCAAGTCCATAGGTTGAAATCCTAACCCCCATGTGACAGTCATAGGAGGTGATAGGTCATGAGAGTAAAGCCTTTATGAATGAATCAATGCCCTAGAGAGCTCCTTTGCCCCTCTGTCATGTGAGGTTATGACAGGAAGACAGAAATCAGCAATCTGGGACCTGCTGTGCTGACACTCATCAGTCTTCTAGCCTCCACAACTATAAGAAATAAATTTCTGTTGCTTAAAAATGACCCAGTCAGGGCCAGGAATGCGGCTCAGTGGTCGAGTGCTTGTCTACCATGCATGAGGCCTTGGGTTAAATCCTCTGTATTGTGAGAACGATTTCAAGAAGTCACTCAGTTGATGGCACTTTTGAATGGCAAACTGAGTTGACTAAGACAGTGTATATACAGTGCCCAAGCTGCACAATCATAGAAGCCTTTTCTTTTAGGTACTGGTGCCATGGCTGTCAGGATGAGGCAGACCCATCAGCTGCTACCCGTTTTCTTCTCCATCAGAAACTGTCACTCCTTTCCATACCTACAGTCCTATCTTCTCTTAGAACTATATCTGTGCTTGAACCACAAGAAGTTCCCTTTGTTACCTTGGTGTATTAGTCAAATTTTTGTTGCTATGATCAAATACCTGAGGCAGGCTACTTTATGAGAAAAAAATAACTTTGACTCATGGTTTTAGAAGTGCAAGACCAAGGGATTACATCTGGTGATGGCCTTCTTGCTGATTTAGTCCCAGAGTGGCCCAGGGGATCACGCGGCAAGAGATGGGGAGGGGACTTGTACGTGTGTCTGGTCCCTCCCTCTTCTTATAAAGCCTCAGAATTCACTCATGGGCTTCACCCTAATGACCTTATTTAATCCTAACCATTTACCAAATGCCCTGCCTTAAAACCCTGTAGTGGGATTAAATTTCTACCACCTTACTAACTCATCATGGAGATAAAATTTGGCATGAGTTTGGAGGATAAATCATATTCAAACATAGCCCTTGATTCTAGACAGAAACTTGTGATATTTTTCTCCAATTTTTAAAACATTTGCTTCTTCTGGGAGAAGCCAGTGGACTGTTTCTCTCACTGTGAACTTATCACTTTCCTCAATACCTGCTTCAGGCCATAACTTCAACTGGGCCCTCAAGAATCTCCCTTTTCATGATGTGTGTTGTTCTCATTTGCTACACCATCTGAAATATTCAGATTAACTCTCACTTCTAGGGCCTTCCTAGTTTTCCCCTTGGAAGCACTCAGCTTCTAATTAGGTGTCTTTCCTGTTAGGCTGTTTGACTCCTCCTGCATGTAGATTCCCCTGAATTTATTCAGATTATATAGTAGTCATTAAGCCTGTTCACAATGATTTCATCCTTCCAGGAACATGGTTGAATTTCATTTATTGAACCCTTGTGGCATGTCACTTATTTTGTCCACGAGAGGTAAGCAGACATGGCACCTCTGGGCAAAGGCTTTGGAAGCCATAATGTGATTTTCCCTTTAGAAGATGACCAAGAAGGCTTGTGTCATTGTGGATCTTGCATTAACTGGGTCCCTGAATGCCTAGTGAGTACAGCCTGCCTGTCAATCCATGCTGGAAATGTGATGTGAACAAGAAAGAAATCTGGGTTGTTAAGAAGCTGAAACATGTGGGGTCTTTTTATTATTGCAGCATAACCTTACTTATTCTGACTGACGCAAAGTCCCCAGATGTTTAGAACTGCAATGAGTACACCCAACTCAGCCCTTTGTGCTCCAACCTCTACTAAGCCAAGATGATTGTCCAGAAAACAGTTGAAGTTAAGATAGTAGTGTCTATCATCTCCTAAAATCAATGATGAGATTCACCATCATCACTTCCACCAAAGACACCAACAGGCGTCTTAGGTTCTGTGATTGTCACAGGGGTACATTGCCTTAAGGGAAGAAAGATGGTAAGTAAGACATGGTATTGCAGAGCTGGCTTTGGGAGAACAGCTAACCCCTTACCCTAGAGCATCCTGATCTGAGTCAGAATAGTGGGATTCTGGTTCCTTCTATGAAACAACAAGAGCAAATATCTTTCTGGAGTGCAGGGATATAACAAAAGTGCCAATGCTGGAGAGTGACCATGCTCTAGGTTCCTTGCTGATCATTATCAAAATAGGGGGACACAGTGACTTAGCAAGTTATTGGATTGGGGGATTTATGAGCATAACCAATAGGATCTCTTCGATTAGAAGTATCAAGGCAGCAAATGTGATTTTTGGAGTCTAGCCTCCTCAGTCCAGTGTCGCTGAAAATGCACTCTGCTCTTCATCTCATCTCTTTTTTGGAAAGATCAATGGTCCAGAAGCTTCTCTTGAACTGTTGTTAGTTGACAAGCCCTTCAACAAAGACCATCTCCGCACCTCTTGCACCTCACAGGAAAGGCCTGGGGATAAAGAGATGGTAAGAAAAGGTCACCGACTTACAGTCTTGTGCTGGTTTAGCAAATGTTGGTTCTTGGGCCAAATCTAGCCTCCTGTCTGGGTTTGTAAATAAAGTTTATCCAAAATATAGACATGCCCATCCATCCCCACCTGTCCACGGCTGCTTTGCTCTACATTCTAGAGGGGACTAGTTGCAACAGAGACGGTACTGTCCACATAGCACAAATATCGACTATCTGACCCTTTACGGCACAAGTTTGCCAACTCCCTTCTTGTGCATTATCAGCCTTTTTAGGAGAGTTTGCATTTCAGGAGTGTTTTCTTAAGTGTCAATTCTGTGAGACCCAAGGGAATTCGGCTAATGAAGAAAACTGAGGCAACGGGGTGTCTTGAAGGACAGAAGTCATATTTAGCTGCTGTCAAATCATACCCTATAGGTAGCTGCCTTCTTTGTCAGTTCTGGAAAGTAGACTGCCTTGTCTAAGTGCCGCCCAAAGCGACAGTGTGGGGAAGGAGAGACAGCTGTCATGGCTGTGACTGGTCCCCTGGAGGAGACAGGAGCTCTCTGAACTTCCTGATGCCGACACGTTCCCTTCTCTTGGCTCCAGAGAGGGCCTTGGCCTTCAAGGTTGTCTACCTGGTACTGGGCACCAGAGATGACTTTGACTTCTTTATTCCTTTCAGTTTTCTGGTGACAATGGTGTGAATTTTTTTGCAAGCTTCCAAGAAACACTGCACGGCTGCATCTCTCCACAGGCACAGATGAAGGAACTGGACAAGGAGCTCTGTACAATCCCATTGAGTTTTTAGCTTGAGAAAAATGTGAAAAGTCAGGAGCCAGGGTGAGGGTGAGGGCTGCCACGAATCAGGAGCATCTCTGCTGAGCTATGTCCATTTCTGTGGGAGAGGATGGAGGTCCTCCCACGGCAGAGCTCTGCCTTCCTCCTTAGTGGAGGAGAATCCTGCCAGGTAAAGGTCTGAGTGAGTTTCTGTGCCATAAAGACTGCCATCTTCTTAAACTTGAGGGCTTGGACCTCAATCCTCCAATGGAGACTGGGCTCCCATCTCCACCCATGGGATGTGCGTCACTCAGGCTGGAAGCGGTGGCCACTCTTTACAGAGCCCAGCTGACTCAGCGTCAGGGTAACACCTCCCTCCCAAGGCTGTAGATGACCCGTTGGGCCTGGGGCAGGCCTGATGACCTGCCTGCTGGGAGCTCTGAGGAGGACTCATCCACAATCTGTCATGCTAATCTCTAAGGAGAGGAGAGGAAAATCATCCAGGGCCGCAGAGCCCTTCTTCCTCCTCCGTCGTTGTCATGGAAACAAACTCAATTTATCTCGGCAAATATGGGCGGGGTATCTGGGGAACAAGACAGTGTCCCTACAGGAGCCCAAGAGATACAAAGACGCCTGTGACGTAGTTTCTATTGCCCTCAGAGCCACGAAGCAGAGGCAGAAAAGTAAATAAACTCTAAAGCAAGATGAATAGTAGGAAGTCTATAAAAGGAATGAAATCCTGGACTTCAAAGAAAGACATCTAGGTTGAAAGCTCAACTCTGGCACTGACTAGCGTATGACCTTGGTTATAGTCATTAATTTATTCAACAGGCATTAAACGAAGGCCTACTAAGTACTGGATATCTAAGTGCAAAGGACACACGTGACCAGCTTAGAGAAGGTGACCTTTCTTATCCTCATAGGACGCAGACATTCTAATGGAGATAAACAATAAGCATGCAAAAACAATTAACAAATAATTTCAAAGCACAATAAGGGCTATGAAGAAACCAGGGATGGGTAAGAGTGACTCAGAGTGGGCTCCTTAAGAGTGAGCAGTCCAGGGAGGCTTCTTGGATGAAGGGACATTGAAAGATCCCAGGAAGTGGGCAGACAGGGACAGTCTGTGGGAAGAGGATTTGGGGAAGGATTTTAGCATTGAGACCAAGGTCTATTCACGTGAGTCTTTAAGTTTCACTTTCTTTGTCTACCGAGTGGTGATCATTTGCTTAATGAGATTGGGGTAAAAGTTCAACCACACATTGGAAACATAAAGTATTTAGCTCAAAGTCTAGCGCAAGGCAAGTGCCCTTCAATATGACTTGGTAAAGTACCCGGAGGACAGTTTGTCTGGTGGGTTTGGGCAGTGCTGTTTGGTGACGGGCCTTGCAGCAGGGTGAGATTTGGGTCAGCAGAGCATAGTTTTGATTTCTCTGCTGTTGCTTTCTATATCTCCCAGTAGTGTCCCTTTCAGAAGCCTGAGCATATTTCACTAGAATAACGTATTTTCCTCTCTTCCAATTTATAAATATAGAGAGGCAGAGACTGCCTGCTTTGCCACCATTCTGTTCCATTGGATGGGACAATGCTGCGAGGCACTTAGCATTTTGAAAGTGCTCTGGTGCATGAATGAAAGAATGAGAAGTGGGAGAGCGTTCAAGTACAGCAGGAAGTGCGGTCCATTCGGTACTGGTAACAGACCAGCAAAGGAGGGGCTTAGGACCCCTGGAAGGAAGGATAGGAAGTAAGATGGATTAGTGAGTCGGAGACAAGTCACGTAAGATCTAGAAAGCTTGGTTCTTTCAGTGAACGCTGACAGAGACATGTTCTTCTTCAAAGGCACATGATGGGAGCTATAAAGGGATGCTGGCCTCTTGCTGGCTATGTGGGAGTGAGGACAGCATGTACTGTGGACTTCATCCACATTTCCCCACAACCATAGCAGGGTTAGTGTACTGTATATGGGGAGGGAATGTTTGCTAACATCCGTTTGTGTATCAATAATCACAATAGCTGATGTGTACTTGGTACCTATTACATGCCAGGTGTTTTTATGCACATAATTTCACTTACTCTCTGTCACATCCCTATAACTGAAAATTATTATCACATTTATTTGAAGGTAAAAAAATGGGTTTAGAGACTATAAATGAATGACCTGTCTGAGGACACAAAGCTAGTAATTGGCAGGGTCTGGACTTGAATTCAGGTCTAATACTAAAACTTGGGCTCTGGATACACTGTTGGTAGGATCTGAATGCTTAAGTCTCCTCTCCCCAAAATTCATACGATGAAATCCTAACCACCAAGGAGATGGTAGTTGGAAGTGAGGTCATTGGGAGGTGATTATGTCACATGAGTAGAGCCTGCTTCTTTGGAATTAGTGTCCTTATAAAAAAGACCCTAGAGAGTTATCAAGCTCCTTCCACCATGTGAAAACTCATCTTGAAGAAGCCAGAGAATGGACCCTCACCTGAAACCAAATCTTCCAATGCTTTAATCTTGGACTTTCTATCCCACAGAACTATGAGAAATAATTTTTGTTGTTCAGAGGGTACCCAGGCTATGGTATTTTGTTAGAACAGCCTGAGTGGCCCAAGATAACTATGATCTGTAAAATTATTATTTAAGGATCACTTTAGCCTTCATCTTCTGGAAACCAGGCCCTGAGGCCAGGATTGAGTAGGGATGCTTCATTTGAGAAGTGTATCCTCTGGACAGAGAGAAAAGGAAATGTGATAACAGAGAGCCATGCGAAGAGGGTGTGCTACTCTGTTGGCCACAGCTTCACCACCTGCCATGACGAGCCTTGTGATGCTATTCATGGATCAGCAGGGGTGTCTATAGTGGCCTCCCCCAAAGTATGTCTACCTCTCACCTTCTGGAAGCTGTGAATGGGACTTTATTTGCGGGGGGGGGGGGGAGGAGGTTTTTCAGATATAATTAAGGATTTTGAGATAAAGAGATCTGGATTATCCAGGTGGACCTTAAATCCAATGTCAATTCTCCTTACAAGAGACACATGAAGGAGATCCAAGAGACAGAAGAGGGTGAGTCGATGTGCCCAGGAAGGCCAGGATTGGAGGGATGCAGCCCAGAGCCACTGGAAGCTGGAAAAGGCTGGACCTCCTCTAGAGTCTTTGGAGGATCTGTGGCATTTGCTCCATAGACAATTCTTCTCACTTCTAGGTGGCATCTATGGGGCCTTGCTGGGAGCTGCTTGAGAAACCAGAATGTGCTACGTGAGGTGAAGTGTTTTATCCAAGACCAGGAAAGACAAAAGCCACTATAAACAGAAGGCCATGAGACTCACCAGTCTCAGCACATGGAGGCCCCTAAGGAGAGGGTCAAGCACCTGTGAGCCTCACATGAGAAAACTGCCCAGGCCTCAGTGTAGCTGTTTGGTCCCCTGAAGGAGATGGAGGAAGTATATACAAAAAAAATGGTGCCCAGAGAATCTAAGGAGGGACTGAAAACATGCCTAACAAGGAGAGCTAACCCCAAACAACCATTTCAAACACAAAAGCTTTATCCAGTGTCCACCTGTGCAAACATCCCTGGCATGAAGTTCTTTGGTAACCAAGTCATTACACACCATGAAGGATGGCTCACTCAACATCCGTCCCAACACTCTCCCCATTGCCTTCTTTCACCCTCAAGTCTGAGAAGTTTCCAATTTTATTTTTAGCTTCTCTTACAGGTCTTAGAACCATGGGACACAGTTTTGGCCAATATGATCAGAGAGGTGTGCTCTGGATTGGTCTTTTTGTCCTGAAGGTTTACCAGGAGAGAGCCTTCTCCCTCACCCTCCTGCCCCTTCTTCCTGTCTGGAATGCTGAGCCATCATGTGATCTTGGTGTCAATGCATAAGAGCCCCAAAGAATTCCAAAGAGAGATACCACTGGACTTTGGGAACAGCATAACAGCTGTGACTTCTTGCTGTGTTAGGGTACTAATTTGCTGGGGTTACCATGACAAAAGCACACAGACTGGGTGTTTAAACAACAGAGCTTTGCTTTCTTATAGCTCTGGAGGCTGGAAGTCCAAGATCAAGCTGTCATTAGGTTTGGTTTCCTCCTAGGCTTCTCTGCTAGGCTTATAGATGGCCACCTTCTCCCTGTGTTCTCACATGATCTTTCCTCTGTGCATATACCACCCTCCTGTGTCTTTTTGTATCGAAATTTTCCCTTATTATAAAAATGCTAGTCAGAGTGTGGTGGAGGGAAGCAGCTCACATGATGATCAGAAGCAGAGAGAGTGGCTCCACTTGCCCGATGCAAAATATATAGCACAAAGGCAAGCCCCAGGGACCTCCAGCTACACCCCACCTGCCTCAGTCACCACCAAGTTAATCCCATCAGGGGACTAATTCACTGATTGGGTTAAGGTTCTCATAACCCAATCATTTCTCCTGCAAACTTTCTTGAATTGTCTCATACATGAGCTTTTGGGGTGGGGAGGACACTGAAAGGAAATCAAGGAAGCAGGAGATGGCTGAAAGAGAAATGAAAGACAGAGATCAGGCAGAGAGACACAAGAGAGTTCTTTTGCCAGAGCTGACAAATCATAGCACATCTCTCCATAAATGGAGAGAGGCAGGACAGGCTTGGATTTTGGGGCTTTTATGGGCAGGCTCAAGGATCAGAGCTACATGGATCCTAAAGCTGGTTTAAGGGTGGATTGGTAAGAAGAAGTGGTAGGAAAGAATTCGGATGTTGAAGGGTTGGGTCGGTATGAGGGAGTGGTGAGCCTTCCCTGGAAAGGCCCTTGGGTGGGAAAATGGCGGCTATCATTTAAGATGGCTGCCCAGATGCTAAGAAGGACCTTATAGACACCTCATTGTCTAAACCATAACCATGTTTCTGGGTGACATTAACATTCAAATCAGTAGATGGAATAAAGCGGATTTGTCTTCCTCATGTGGCTGGGCCTCACCCAATCAGTAAAAGTCCTGAAGAGAACAAAAAGTTCACTCTCTTCTGAGTAAGGGAGACTTCTTCCTGCCTGATGGCCTTCAGACACCAGCTTTGTTCCAGCCTTTAGACTCTCACAGGAATACCAGCTCTTCCTGGGCCTCAAGCCTGCTTTCTTTCAGGTAAAACTCACACCATCAGCTCTCCTGGGTCTCCAGCCTGCCAACTCACCTCTGGATCTTGGGTCTTGGAACTTCCGGGGCTCCATAATTATGTGAGCCAATTCTCCATCGTCTGTGTGTGTGTGCGCGTATATCTTATTGGTTCTGTTTTTCTGGAGAATCCTGAGTAACAGAAGGGCCTACCCAAGGCCCTGATTCATTTTAATCTAATCTCTGTAAAGGCCCTGTCTCCAGATAGTCACATTCTGGGGTGGTGGATTTTGGGGTTTTAACATATGAACTCTGTAGGACCCAATTCAGCTGACAACAGTGAGAACATAATCCTTTATTCATTTAAGCCACTGTTACTTGTAGCAGAGAGCACACTTAATGGCTTCACAAGGTGGAGCTTCACACCAGGAGCCTGATGTCCACACTGTCCTCAAGAAGATGTGTGGCTATCTTTCCTTAGGAGTGTGCTCTAGTTTCTTCCATCTTTGAAAAGTCATTTTCTGGTCAGAACATGGACTTGGGGGGAAAAATCAGCTCTCAAAGGGTGCCAGGTTGATGTCTAACTTTGGGGGCATCTTCCAACCATGCTTTGGCTTGTCCATTTCCAGCTAGCATTAAAATAAAGCCCTATACCCTTGATGTGAAAGTCATTCCAAATATGGAGTCATCATCTGGCTTTGAAGTGGCGGTGGGGAGGTTCCACAGCCTCCGAGAAGCAGTTCTTTTCAGCCAAATGTATTGAAATGTCCTGACGTGTGCCTCCCAGCCAATGTCAGCTGCTAATCTGGATGAATTAATGCAGTAATAATTGGGCCGTATTCAGCAAGCACTAATTTCTTTCACTACATCAAATCAAGCCTCATGATTGTTTCGAAATAAACACGCCATCCCCAGAATGTTGAATCTCCGCACCAGCAGCTGGGTCCTGAATGGACCTGGAAATGTCTGGGATGGAGGCTGAGTTCCTGAGTGGCGAGATGTACCCCTAAGTGTGAGTGTCCTGGCGCAAGCCTTTAAGACCTGACTGTACCCAACCATATTTGACAGAATCAGAGGAGGACAAAAGTTTTGTTTCTGGACAGTATCCAAGGACAGTTCACACCGGGAACTTCTGCTTTTTTCCAGAAATTTCCACGTAGACAGCCCGGGTGAAAAGAACCTGGCAACTATTATCTGCAGACAAGCTGTTATTACCCATGCCTTGCTAAGGGAGGCCTCTGGGTGTCACTGGAGTGAGAGACCTCGAGAGAGTGAGTATTTCAAAGACTCACAGGTCAGACTGCAAATAAACCTCACAGGAAGTGTCTAACAGACTCTTACAGGCAGGGAAACAGGAAAACCAAAGAGAGAGGGCAAGTGGGCAAGGATGCTCCCTTCACTGTGCCTGCAGAGGAGAATAGGGGAGAAAGAAAACCCAAATCTAGAAAGATGATCGAGGAAGTCTGGACGGAACTAACAAGCTATGCCAGAAGGAGACTGTAGTGGTCTTGAAAATAAGATATGGAACCCTGTGGTGGGAATTGAGAGGGCCCACCTGGTTGCTGGGAGATGCTTTTAGTGGGATCGTGGACATTGGCGTTGCAATTTCTCGGACCTCGTCTCTCCCACTCACACACTGTCCCATGAATGGACACTCTCTCCAGGCCTGACCTTGTGCTTGACCCAGGGGAGCAAAGCAAACCCAGTTCTTGCCCTGTCTCTCCTCTTCTTCTGTGCTTTCCTATCCCCTACTCTTCTTCCGCCCTCCCCTGCCACCTCCTCTCCCTCTCTTCTCTATGCAAAGTGTCCAAATAACTCCTGAGGAAGAGTTCATATTTTTCTCCATGGGCTTACTATCTCCTAGCTGCTTACTAACTAACCTTCCAAATAAGCAACTCAGGACTGAATTCCACCCCTCTTCTCATGGTGGTTGTTGTGTGTAGACTTAGGGGTCTCCCACTCCCACCCCATCTCCAAGCCCGCAAGCATGGGGGCCCTCTCTGTATCTCTCTCCACAGTTTGCTGCTTTGCACCCTACTCCCTACAAGCGGCTTATCTATCCACAAGCTTATAATGTCACTGCCTTATAAAGCTTCTTTAGAATTTCCCCCTCTTCCTTCTGTCCTTATCCTGTCAATCAGGATGAAGGAAATTAAGTTGTATAAGTCTGTACCTTCCTCTGTGATCCCAGCTTCCAGGCCCTGTAGCTGCCTGGGAGCCACTAGGTCACCTGGGCCTGGATTCAGACATGAGATGTGAGAAGCTGCAGGATTTCTGAGAAAGAGGTGTCCTTGTGATCCCAAAGTTCCAATTTTCTAGTCCATAACTTGGAAAGCAGAACAAAAGCCGTGAACCAAAACTCCAAGGAGGTTGTGAATAGTGATGGTGCCACTGAGCCAGAGCCCAGTACAGGATGGGATTCCCAGGCCACCTTCCACTTTGAGGCGCAAAGCTGAGGCATAGGGTGTTCGGGTTGTGCACTGTACAATGTGCCTGGCCAAGGGGTTGTTCTCCTCCAGCTCTCCAAGCCTGCAAGCACGGGCTCTTTGCAGAGCTGTACTTGCTTCATGGAAGGGGGACCTTGGGACCTTGCTGTTCCGTAACTTGCCATGCTGTTGGGTCTGGGGTACATCTGCTTAGAGGGAACTCCTTTTTAAAAAATTTTACAGAGGCTATATATGTCAACTCTGATTAGGGGAAGAACAAATGATAAATGGACTGACTTTTAAAAAATGCCTTTAGAAATCATTACTTTCCATTTTAGAATTCTCATAAATTCACTGCCATCTCCTACCTTTCCTGTTGGATACTACAATGACAATAGCTCACATTTATGGGAGCCTTCTAGGTGTTGGAGCTGGACTGGGCGTCTGTATGTATTGTTAATGAGTCTTCCTTCCCTACTTGTCTTTGCTGAGGTCCACTATGGACAGTGTAAGCCTCCTGCCCCCTCGACTTTGGCCTGGCCACGCGTTGTTTGGTTAACTAGACTGTGGGCAGAAGTAACAGTGTGCTAGTTATGAGCTAGGCTATAGAGGCATGGGAAGTTCCTGCCAGCACTCCTGAGATCTGCCTTGTGCCATGAGAAAAGTATGTCCCCAGGTAATTGCTGCCCTTTGACCTCAAGTCAAGACCCCTGGAGCAGACCCGAACCTGACTCAAAGTTCAGGACAGATCAGCTGAGTGCCACCAAATCATATTGCACAGACACAGAAGTGTGTCAAAGGTTCATGGTTCAAGTCACAGAGAACTGAGGATCGTTTACTATGCAGCATTAGTAGAGTCGTAGCAACGCCTACATGGCCTGCTTTTCTTAAACCATTTGTCACAAAACCTCTTGAAGGTATGTGTCTCTATTTTACATAAAGAAAAACCAAACTCTGAGAGCTTGCTTGAATTAATAACTTCTTTAGCCAGTATTGACATCCAGTCTGCCTAATTCCAAAGCCTGTTCTCTTCCACCTCCCTCATATTGAGTTCAGAATATGGTGGCATCTGTCTCCTAGAGATCCTTAACTACCAAAAATGATGCTATGGTGGGTAATAAGTTTGAGTTTTACTTACTAAAGCAGTGAAAGGAACTCATGGATTTTTGTTCTGCAGGACCACAAAGTGTGTCCTGCTCAACTGTCGGTTTCCTAGGACATTCTATCCAACATGGTCCCTTCCCTTCCCCTGTACCCACTCCATGCTTCTTGTTATTGAAAGTGCTGAAGTTCTGAATATGACTCTATTTCTCTGGGCTGGGAATACCTGGGACTGAGGCAGAGTTTGACTTGGCACCTTTTTCGTTGTCAGTGCTATAAGCCAGGACCAGATGCAGATCAATGAACTGAAGAACAGCTTTTGTCTCCTGATAGCTCTGTGGGCAGAAAAAAGACCTTTGTCTGACACATTGTTCAGTGAAAAAAGCAAAGTGCAGAACAATGTGTGTTGTACGTTATTGTCATTTGTGTATCTAAGAAGCATACACATGTACCAATGTTTATATTTACATGGGATGACTCCCAAAGAATACTCCAGAAATGTGATACCAGTGGCCTCTTTTATAGGAACCTGGTGGCTGATAGTGGGTGGGGATGGGAGAAAGAATTATTTTTCTTTGAATACTGCTTCAAGTTTTCTAAATTGGTGTGTGTTTTCATATTATTACTCCAAAAAAAAAAAAAGTAAACATTTTAGAGAAGGACCCGGAAGTACATCTTCTCTGACCTGCCCCCATTTACTTTAGTTGACTCTGTTTCTTAGGTTTCAAATTTCCAGGAGTTTTGAAAGGATTTGGGAGGAGGAGTTAGCATAGGAGGAGGTCCTTTCTGGAACATTCTCTTCCTCTCTGCAGCTGAAGTGCCCTATGAACATCCTCAAAGTCTCCACAGACAGCAGAGACAAAATGAAGGGATGTGCACGGCAGCCCACCCGCTTCCACAAGAGAAAGTGATTTTCTTCATTCATGAATCAAAGGCTATAGAGTAATAAACAAGAATTGATCGACTTCTTTTTAAAGACTGAAAACATCTTCTGACTCTCCTCTGAGTGAGACAATTGCATCATGAACATTCCAAAAGTCAAAGTCCTTACATTTCCACCTGTAGCCCAAGGATGTTTTTCTATTAAGTTCTAGTCATATCACTAGAGTTCATTAATTGTTTCAAAAAACAGACATCATCCATTCATTAAAAAAAAAAAGAAAGGGTAAATAAATCAACTTCCAAATCATGTTCTCCTGCAAACACCAGCTGCACAGGAAAAGGAAGGCCGCCTGTTAGCCGTCTCTCACCCAAGTGCAGGCTCGGGCTGCCCGTGAACAAGCTCAGAGCTGGGCTGTCTGTTAATGGGTCCTGCAGCCCACAGGAAAGAACCTCAGCGGAAAGAGAGAAGGCAGAACAATTGTGTGAACTTAGCTCCCTTTCTTACTCTCCAAACATCTGGCCACTGCATGTGTCATTTCTTTGATTCAAACCCGCTCTCGGGTTCTGGAGAGGGAAGGTGTCTACCTTGGGGGCTGGGAGGGCCGACTTCATTAAACAGGAGTCAGCACAGACTCACTTTCAGTAGCCAAGGAAGGGAGCAGGTTGGTCCCCGAGCCACGTTTCTGACATTGTCCAGCTCTGTCTCTGTCAACTCCTTTATGGAGAAAGTAAAAGCTGAAAGCAAAGAGATAGTAAGGACAGCCCTTAGGATGGGGGCTAAAGGAAAAGTTAAAAAATGCAAGACGCCATCTTGGTATTGGCTAGCCACAGGGAAAATCTCTGCTGCTTAACATAACGCATTTGTAAACACAGATGTCAGGGACAGCACGTTTATTTCTGTAGTTCCGTATCTTACATTGCCCCAACTGATTCTTTTTTTTCTTCTCTTCTACGTCAGAACAGCCAAACAGGATTCAAGTGATGTATTTGGATGGCTTGTTTCCCTGAATTGTGTCTGTGTCCATTAACAGGACAGACACTTAATTCCACCTGTGGACACTCACAGCAGTTTAATCTTCACGACTGTCCCCATTGTTCGGACCCTTACTTCATTTTACTGGGTACTTTGGACAACAACCTCCTGAGCTTATTTCTGGCAGTTAAAAATCAGTTTGGTAGTCATTTTGCCTGCAGATCAGCTATGAAGTTTATGTGCTTGTCAAATTTTAACTGTATGCTCCATTTAAAAGTAATGAGAGCCACTTAAATTTGGTTGGGTGCCAATGTTAAGATGCAGGTGAATCTCGATGGAGGAAGACTACATGGTTGGGTGCAGGGGACTTCTTTCTCTTCTCTTTTCCACCTCTCTTGTTCACACCTACGGGACAGGACGGGTGGGTGGGGTGCAGAGAGTGAAGGGAAATGAAAGTGGTGCTGAGCCAGCATCACCAGAGAGAAACTTGACAAGGTTAAATGCAAAGTCCTATATGTAGTCTGGGAAAAAAAAAAAATTGATGGCACAATTTTAGATTGAGAGAGACTGGACCAGCAGCCACATACGGATGACATAAGAGCTGAGTTAATTGCAAGTTAATATCTTTTCTTTAAAAAATAAAATTCATGTAGGATTATAATGTGCTAACATACAATGTTTAAAAATGTTTTATGACTATTATCATTTTTCATTCTCGCAGCAACATTATGAGGTGAATACTATCATTCTATCCAATTATCGGGTGGAAAATTGATGCATAAAGAGAATAACTTGTGTATAATTACATAGCTGGAATGTTCCAGGGTCAGAATTCAAATTCATGCAATCTGCTCCCAGGATCCAAGCCCTTAATTCTGTATCTTAACCTAAGCCAGCAGTGGTGTGTAGCCACTAGAAGATAAATATGGACTATGTTCTTGTTTTATGTCACTGACTGAAGCTCATTGCAATGAACATCATGGAGTTCAAAGTCTCAAGGAAAAGAAAAACAGATGTCCAAAGTTATGTCAATTGTTCCGAATCACAGCAAACAAAATAAAATTCTAAAAACTCAAAAATGATTCATATCATCCTACAAATTTGTTGTGACGATGTTATGCCCATAATTTTTGTGATAGTTTTGATGCAAACAATATCAACTAGAAACACAGGGTAAGTTTCAAGCTGAATTGACTTTCCTGGGTCTTTAGCCTTTCATTTTTCCAGCACATAGAATGAGCGAGATAACTTTCTAATCCTTTCACATTTTAAACTTGTAATATTTCCTCAATTGATTGTTAAGCCAAGTCATGAGTTTATTCAGTCATGCGTGGGATTGGTGGTGTTTGTTTACTTTTTTACAAGGCACTCTGCTGACAGCATAGGGGACAGTCTGTAAGAAGATAAGAAATAAGCGGAGGGAACTATAATGCAAGCTTGTACAGTGGATGCTATGGGATTTGGGGGACAGTGTGTCATTGTATTTGTAGACATATCTATCATTGTACTTGCTTTATGTAAGATAGGATTTGTTAAGGAGTTGTTAAGCCCTTATAGGATCTTTGGAAGAGGTAGGGGAATCTTTTCTGGGCTGGTAGATCTGAAGCAATGTGTAAAGCCACCCAGAGATCAGAGTGATGTCTCACACTTTCCAAAGAACTGTATGGCTTCACGAAAAAAGATGCTCCATGCCTCTCTTGTTTCTTTAACTCTCTTCCAAATCAAAGACTCTCATAGGTAAGAGGAATGAAAGAAATTGAATGGTTGTGATTGGGGGGTGGGTAAATTTTGGGGGGATTTTGTTTGGGGTAGTTAGGGCTATCAAATAGAATGAGGAAAATATCAAAATGTCCAAAGAGTGCTCAGGAGGATTTTGGCGGCTATAAATGAGAAATCTCTGCCCTTGGTAATATTTTCTTTCAGTTGAGTACTGGGCAGGCTCTTCTGTAAGAAGCGTGTTTGAGATATTCACAGCTGAAACTTAATGCTATGATAATGGCCACAGTGACGATGATGATGGACATCATTCATGGAACACTTGCCATGTTACACCCATGGTGACAGGTGCTTTACATACTGCTCTGGACATAGTATTTTAGGCCACTACATTTTTTCCACCTTTTTTCCTGTTAAAATTGTTGTTTTAGTTAGCCTTTTCACTGCCATGACTTAAGGACCCAACCAGAACAATGATAGCTGAAGAAAAGTCTATTTGAAGGCTCATGGTTTCAGAGTTGTTCATCCATGGAAGGCTGGCTCCATTCCTCAGGGCTCAAGGTGAGACAGAACATTACGGCAGAAGAGTGTGACAGAGGGGAGCAGCTCACATGGTGATCAGGAAGCAGAGAAAGACTCTACTCTCCAGATACAAATATACACCCCATAGCCACGCCCACAACGAACCACCTCCTCCAGCCACACCCACCAGCCTTCACTTAGCACTCACTTAATCCCTATCAGGGGATTAATTCACTGATTGTGTTAAGGCTCTCACAACACAATCCTTTCTCCTTTGAACCTTCTTGCACTGTCTCACACATGAACTTTTGGGGGACACCTCACATCCAAACCATAACAATAGCACATTCAAATTTTATTCTAGGGAGTTCCTCTCTTCCACTCTTAGAACTTGATATTTGGGTGACATTGACACACCTCCTTATCTTCAAAGGGGGGCTCACAACACAGGCTCAACCCAATTAGCATATTCCATTCCCTGGTCATAGACATAAGTTTGGGATGGGCATCTTCAACTAGTAAATACCAGGCCCAGGATTTTCATTTGAATATTGGGCTGGAACATGGGAGAATGGGATCTGGCTTTTTGTCTTCCTTTTTTTACCAGAATGTGGATCCTTAAAAAGACCCAAAAAACAAGGAGATAAAGGAAGATCACATCCTGGTAGCTGCATGTGAGCCCTTGGATCAAGCTATTTGGAATACTCCTTGGATTTTTTCATCATCCAAATTAAAAAATTCCATTTTATCCTTAAATCGCATTTTTGTGTAACGTTTGCTATGACCTATTTCCAATGTTGACTTGAACTTCTACAAATGCATTAATTCTTAATCCTCAAAAATGCTGCATAATATTAATAACATCACAATTCACAGATGAGGACATGAAGGCTTAAAAAATGAGACATGTGCCCATGTCACATAATTTGTCTGTGTGACTTCAGAACAGATCCTTAACTCCTGGGTCATACAGGGGCACTGGAGAATGTGGAAAGGGCAGCTGTGCTGTGATTTGAGGCTCACAAAGCAGGCCCTACAGAGCAGTGGTGCATAGCCTCTGGAAGGCAGGGAAATACTTAGGTTCATGGGTATCCCCTGCCTCCTCTGTTCCATGCCCAGAAGGGCTTTCAATATGCGATTCTTCCCTGTGCTAAGAGAGGGAGCTGAAGGCCTCCAGTGTGAGAAGGAAGGAGAGTCAGATTCACAATCCCCACCTGGATGAAGGGATACCAGGCAAATGACAAGAATGAGTCTGTGTGTACCTTGGATAGAGAACTGTCTCTGTGTGTGGTTGTCTGAATTGCTGAAAGATACACAAAGTTTCAATGTCAAGCACAACCTTCAACTCACAAAGGGGATGAGGCAATGCGATACAAGGTAGCGGACACATTTACTGGAAATACTAAAGAAAGAAAAACATGATGATTCTCCCAGCATATTTGAGGTTTCCTTAGTCTCAAGAAGCTTTTTTATTCTTCCACTGAATACGTTATTCCATCTTCCCAAGTGCCCTCCCAATCCTCGTCTGACTTGTGCATTTAGCTCAAATGCTACCTCCTCTGGGAAGCCCTCACTGAGCTATTGACCTTGGCTTGATTGCTGCTTCCTCTATCTTTCTGCAGCACCTTTGTACATTCATGTTAGCTCTAGATGTTTTGTTTTAATGATTTGCTTGACTTTCCTGACTCTAAGTCAAGGATCATGTCTTATTTCTCTTTGGATTGCCTGGTCCTAGCAGAATGCCTGTTAAGTCAGCAGGCGATCTTGTGAATCTGCCAAGAATTCCTTCCTCAGCTTCTTCATCGGATATTCCCATCTGTCCTTTATGACTCAGCTTAGAAATCACCTTCTTTGGAAGCCGTCCTTCATCCCTCTAGTTGGGTTATGGTGCTTCTCCGGTGTCATCTCTAAATCATTCGGTGCCTAAGTGATGATTGAGAGAAGGGGCACCAAGTCCTGGCCAACTGAATCCCAGCTCTGACTTTTCACAGATGATCTTTTCTTTCCCTGTGTGTATGTATGTGTGTGGGGGGTGCTTACTGGGGACTTAGCCCAGGGGTACTTTACTATTGAGCCACATCACCAGCTCTTTTTATTTTAAACCAGGGTCTCCCCAAGTTGCTGAGATCCTCGCTAAATTTCTGAGGTTTGCCCTTGAGCTTGCGATCCTCTTGTCTCAGCCTCCTAAATTGTTGGGATTATAGGCGTGGCCACTAGACCTAGCTTCATAGAGGAACTTATTGTGCCTCAGTTTACTCACCTGCAAAACAGGAATAATAAAGATTTCTAAAACAAAGATAGTTATATAAAGTATAAAAATAGGGCCTATCAAAAATTAACAATACATCTAGCCATTATAAATATTATCTACTATTAATATTGTTAATTTGTCAAACATTTGCTAAAGCACATATATGTCAGAAAGTATTCTAAAAATAGATATGCAACATAAAACTCCCATTTTCATAATCTAAATATTAAATAAATTAATGAAGAGAAAATGCAATAAGGTTAAGTGGTTTGAGCAGTTAAATTGATGCATTTTTCAATTGTCATACACTCATTGGTCAATGGCATCTGGGCTTCGCAGAGATGAGACAATGCCATCTAGGCAGAGTAAGTGACCTTCAAATTGGAATGTTCTTGAGAATGAAGTCTGATACAGTTTTAAAGCCAACTGTGCTGAGACAGAGGAGGGTTCTCTAAATTCTAAAAACACAAACTTGAAAACAAATGCCCAGCCTCTACTTGCTTTGCCCCAGCTGATGCCACATACTGCACAGGAAGAGTGTCCCCATGGAGCCCTGCTTCAAGTGCAGATTCGTGAGCACAATAGTACACGACTGTCATATTACACCTTCAAAAATTTGGGGTGCTTTTTACGCTGCAATAGATAACCAAAGCACCTTGTTCACTCTGCTCTTGTTCGTTGATGAAATTTTACAACGTTTTGCTCGCAAACACAAAGCTTGGAGCTCTGAGTTCCAGAATAACCCCTGGTATGGAGTGAGCACAGGATACGATATAAAGGCATTTCCTGCCAGCGGGAAGGAGGAAGTCTTTCCAGCATAGGGAACAACTTGCCAAGGTCTCTGATCATCTGAGAGTTGATGCTGCGCTAGCCCAGTAGGAAGGCGGACAGCAAGAGAAAGACGGAGACCCAGTGACGCAGAGGGTGGGGGCAAGGGTGATTCGAGACGGAGCAGTCTCCTAAGGTCACTGTATTTCTAAAACAGAACCACAAATATCAGTTGAGGTGGCACCATGCGGGAGATGTTGTTCTAGGCACAAAGGGCCTGGCAGGAAATGAAGCAGACCAAATGCCTGTCACTGCGGGGCTTACCTTCTGTGGCCCTAACACACCATGAACAGTCCAAGTGAGTAAATCATGCAGTGTGAGAGACAGCGAGGACTGCTCTGGGGAAAGTAAAGTGGAAAGGGGGAAGCGGGAGCTCATGTGGTTTTGCCAGTTTAGGCGGGAAGGCCTTACTGAAAAGATAACCAGTGATTAACGGCCTACAGGGCCTGAGTGAGGCGGCCATGGGTGTCTATGTACTCTAGTTGGGGACAGCCAGTGCACAGACCTCGAGACATGAGCATCTGTGAGTGTTCAGGGAACACAGAGAGGGCAGAGTGGCCAAGGGAGGGAGGGAGGGTGCTGCATGGTGTGTGTGTGTGTGGGGGGGGGGGGGGTCCTCTGTGGCTGAGACAGAGTGCCACAAAACTTAATGGCTAAAACAAATAATCATCTTTTTGTCCACAAATCTTCAGTTCAGGCAGGACCTGATGGGGGCAGCTTACCTTAGTTCCAGGTGACATCACCTGGGGAACCCAATTTCCATTAGGTTCACTCATGTGGCTAGCAAGTGGGTGCTGGCGGGGAGCTGAGCAGGTGGTGGGGACTGTCAGCTGGGACCTTGGTTCCTGTTCACAGGCCTGCTTCACAGACTGGGAGCCTGCTCCATCCACGATGGCTGCATTCAAAGAGTGAGTGTCCCATAAGCCGAAAAATGGGAGTTGCCGTAACCTAGTGGTCAAACAGTCACAGAGGCCAGATCCGGAGGCAGGAAACAGTGACCCCTGGCCTCTCAATGGGAGGAGTGTCAAAGAATTTGAAGGCTGTGTTTTAAAACTGCCATGGAGAGGAAGAAGAAAGACATGAGGTTAGAGAGGACAGCCCAATCATGCAGAGCTTCCTGCACAGTGTAATGGGTCTGACTTTCTCTCAGAGAGCCACGAGGAGCTAGGGGAGGATTTTAATAAGGGCAGGATCCTGACTTGACTAATGGTTAGCAAGATCATTCTGGTTGTTCAATTTAAGAACAGACTTTGCACAAATGAAGCAGGCAGTTAGGAGTTTGCAAGTATCCAGTCAAGGAGTCTAAGTGGCTTGTCCCAGGTATAGCAATGCAGGGGATAAAAAATGGCCAGATCAGAATATATTTTCAAGGAAGAGCCACAAGGGATCCTTCATGGATTTGGACATGGAGCATGAGAGAAAAAGAGCAATTGGTAATGACTCTGAGGTTTTTGTACTGAGCAATTAAAAGAACGGAGTGGCCATTATCTGAGGTTGAGAAGACCAAGAAGAAGCCGATTTGGTGCTAAAAGCAAGAACTTGCTTTTTGACATGTAAAGATAGACACCTAAGTACAGATGTTGAGAAGGTAGTTAGATATATGAGACCTCAAGGGGAGGTGCCAGGGATGGAGGCATAAATTTGGAGAAAATCATCACAGACAAGGTATCTAAAACCATGAGATTCAATGGGACCACCGGCAAAGTGAGGATGGACAGAAAAGAGAAGCAGTCCAAGGACTGGGCCATGGGATTCTCCAGTATTAAAAGGGAGGGGGATGAGGAGGATGAGGAGGGACCAGAAAAGGAGGCCAAGAAAGAGAAGCAGATGAGGAAGGAAGAAAACCAGGAGAATGGAGTATCCTGGGGGCCAGATGAAGGAAGGAATCATTTCAAGAACAAGAGAGCCATCAGTCACCTTGGTGAATTTTGCTCCTGGGGCAATGAAAATGAGGGCTTATGTCTCATAGCTGGACTCAGCAAGTAGACACCATTGGGGACCTTAATGGGAAAAGTTTCATAGGGGTCAAAAACAAAAGCAAAACAAAACATCAAGAGAGTCCAGTAGAATGTGTCTGTGATGGGTCGAGTGAACAGTTTAAGGGAGGAAAAAACAATGTTCTGATGCTGACGAATAAACCCAGGAGAGAGAAAAGTAATGCCTGAGAGAAGGGAGAACTTCATTAGCAATGACAATGAGTTAGCAAGAAGGGGTGGGATCTAGCGTGGAACTGGGGGTGCTGGCCTTGGCTGGGAGCATAGTCTCTTCATTCATAGCAATTGGATGGTAGAAAGAGGCATGCACTTGGCTGCTAGAAAGCTGGCGGATGTGGTGGTGGAAGTTCTCTTCGGGTTGCTTGCATTTTCTCAGTGAATTAGGGTCAGCAGTTGAGAATGAGGGTAGAGAAGAAGGTTTAAGGAGGGAGTGGACAGTAAAAGCGCACACATGATGTTAGTGACCATGGAATTAAAATGAGACCCTTCAACATGACTGCGGTTTTCTTCAGCCACATTCAGCAGCACACACCTAGGCACAGAGTAGGCAGAGAATTGAGTTTAACCAGGGTTGGGTTTTTTCAGATTAATAAAGTGAAATAAGGGAGAAAGGCAAGGAATTGAGTCTGTTTGAGGAAGTGATTGTAATTATTGACCATGGAATTTAATCTGGGTTAAAAAGGAAGTGAGGACGCGAAAAAGGTGAAGGACAGCGCAAACTGGATAGACTCAGAGTACTTAAACTGTGGGTTGGCGGACTGGGGGCAATTATTAGAGGGAAAGAACTCAAAATATAGAAGTTTTTCTTTTTTTTGGGGGGGGGGTTGGTACTGGGGATTAGAACCCAGGGCCTTTTGTATGCGAGGCAAACACTCTACCAACTGAGCTATATCCCCAGCCCCAAAATATAGGAGAGAATAGTAATGGGTTGGAGGACTTGAGATGATAGATGATTTCTGTGACTGTCAATGGTAAGTTCTCAGGTATGACTATGGCGAAGAGCAGATAAGATAGGTGGAGGACCATGTCACGGGAGAAGAGGTTAAGAACCTGAGAAGCCAAGGTGCAGAAAGATTCATCCCCTTGAAGGTTGAACCCACACATCATTAGCTCAGGAGTAGTGCTGGAGAGAATGCCCGTGAGCCTGACTTCAGAAGTCCCAAGGAAGGAAAGGTGCCATCCAAGGGTTGGTCCATGAACATGATGAGAAGGGGGAGTGAGTGGGGTGAGCTAAGGACAGAAGCTTTAAAATTGGGTTGGCATGGGAGATGGTGATGAGGAACAGAGGAGAATGGTCCAGAACAGCAGCAAGGGGTAACGCAGACACTTGGTCAGGAGAAAAGTTGAAGATGGTATCCCGTGTCTTCCCGTCTTGTGGTGGTGTGCAGCAAGTCCAGGTTTATCTGTGCACTCCAGGTGAAGTACTGAGATGCTTTGAAACTGTTAGGAGAGAGAAGGCCTTGTCAGTATGAGAAATCCAGAGGGCAGGTGTGACACATGACACCCCAAAACACCCAATGGGTACCTGGACATGCTGTCCTTGGATGCTATCCCATGAAGGAGACAGGGGAGTAGAGAGCCACCATAACAGGTTGTTGGAGGAATACCTGGAAGTTCAGAGCCTCTCATAGCAGTATTCATTCTGCATCTTCCCAGCCCAGACCCAGACCTTCATTCCTAGCTCCATATAATTATAAAATAATAACTATCATAATTTTAGAACGTAGTTTTGATCTCAGCTTATTTTTCTCCTCCAAACTCCTCACCTGCACTCCAAAGAATAGGGCAATCAATGGGATTTAATAAGTGACAGAGTTTTCAAGAATAGGTGACTTTAAAAATACTCCTCATAGCCAGGCATGGGGGCGCATGCCCATAATCCCAGCAACTCAGCAGGGGAAGATCACAAGTTCAACTTCAGCCTCAGGAGGTTGGCAAGACCCTCAGTAACTTAGTGAGACACTGTCTCACACTGAAAAATAGAAAGGGCTGGCAATGTAACTCACTGGTAATACACCCCAGCACCAAAAATAAAATAAAATACAACTATTCAAAAAATTAAAATTACAAATTACTTATTATAGGAAACAGAAAATAAAAATAAATAGAAAAAAGAAAATGAAACTATACATTTCCCTCCATACAGAGATAACAGTTCTCAATATTTAAGTGTATATTTTTGTATATATGCATTGCACAAAAATGGCAACATACCAGACATGTGAGTTTTAGGACTTTCTTGAATGAATGACACACACGGTTTTCCCCGTTAATTTATATTCTTGCATATCAACTTAATGGTTCCATAAGATTTCCATTTACTTATGTACTAATGATTTGTTCAATCTATTACAGAAAATTTAAACTGTTTCCATTTTTCACTATGAGAAACAAGAGCAGGATGAACCGTTTTAGCTATATCTTTGTTTAATGCCATGATTGCTTATTCCCTATGAATAAGATCCTAGATTTATCAGGTCAGGTATCACCCAGATGGATCGAAGGGTATGCAAAATTTTGAGGCTTTTAATATATTTTGCCAAGCTATCCTTCAAAAATATTTTATCCATTTATACTCCTCTTAGTGGGGTACGATAACCACCTTCTCATGCAATTTCTCTTACTATGATGATTAAGAAGATTAGAAGATCTCATGAGATTTTTCTCTTACTTAACTGGACTCATTAACCTCCTGAAGAAGGTTTGGCCCACCATTTTTAGGCCACTAGGAGGCCTGGCCATATAATAGCAGAGGGAGGTGTTAATTAGCTTTTTATTGGTGACAAAATACCTGGAAAATTGAATTAAAGGAAAGATTTATCTTGACTCATGGTTTCAAAGGTTTCAGCCCATGGGGACTTGGCCCATTTCTCTGGGCCTTTGTCAAGGAAGAACATGATGGCGTGGAGCATGGGGTGGAGCAGAGCATCTCACCCCATATGGCCAGGAAGGAGAGAGAGAGAGAGAGAGAGAGAGAGAGAGAGAGAGAGAGAGAGAGAGGGAGGGAGAGAGGGGGAGAGAGAGAGAGAGAGGAGGAGAGAGAGAGGGAGAGGGGGGAGACAGAGAGAGAGAGAGAGAGAGAGAGAGAGGAGGAGAGAGAGAGGGAGAGGGGGGAGAGAGAGAGAGAGAGAGAGGGAGAGAAAGGAGAAGGACAGGGGACCAAATATACCTCTGTGTGCATGTCCCCTATGACCACCTCCTGAAGTCTCTACCACCTCCCGTAGCACTACCATCTAGGGACCAAGCCTTCCACATTCCAGATCAAAATCACAACAGGAGGAAAAATGGATTCAAGTGAAAAGGTATTGGACTGGGGGCCTTTTGTCTTGTCTTGGGACTTACTCATAACTCCCAGGCTTAAGGTATCTCATGGCCTTCCTCCCAGCTCTGAATGTCTGTGAGCCTTTATATTTCTATTTTAGAGAACATTCTTACCAGCTCCTCTTCAGGAGGAGTCAACCCGAAGGACAGGAAGGTCAACCCAAAGTCAGATGTTTTTGTCATTCTTTCTTTGCAAATGTATACCCTTAATAGAAATGTGAGTTCTATCAGTGACTTTGTTCAGGAGGAGAGACATCTTTCAATTCACCTCAGATAATATTCACTGAGCTGCTCAGTAGCTCATGGTGACACACCAGGCGTAACAGGAGCCCATGTCCATTCTTCCTTTCTGGTAAAGTCTTTTTCTTTCCTCTCTCTATGGGACTTTTGTCCACTTACCAACATTTCCTCTTTGGTCTCCTGTCTAGAGGATTCAAACAGTCGTGGCTGTCGACATCTTCCTGCCAGGGTGGTAGCATGATTCACCAGCGGTTCTAAGGTTGATTGTTTGAGATCGCAGTGAACAGAACACTGATAACCTGGGTGCGAGGCTCCTCCTCTGACAGCTCCAGTTACATAAGATGCATTGTGTTGACCATGAGCTCACCTTGAAAACAATGGCTGTAGTTTTAAAAAAAAAGACTAGAAGAAAGGGGCAACACCTGAATAAATGAAGTGTTGTTTGGGAACCTTCTGGATGACGTGGTATTTTCAGGGAGTCCAAATGTTGAGTCATGTTTTCCTTTTTGTTCAGAGCTCATCTGGGACTCTTGTTAATGGAACTACAATGAGTTTAAGCAGAGAGTAAAAACGTTTTGACTTTCTAGCATATTTTTAGCCTTTCAGATGGGGTTGGGGGACAAAACTCTGAGACTTAATAATGGAAAACTGAGTGTGTTGCTTAATGCAACATTAGGATACAGTTGGTGGGCGGGGGGGACTGGGTATTTTTATATGCTATTTATCCACATAGATATGCATTTGTGAACACGCTGAGCCATGCACAGATATATGCTCAAATAATGCCACATTATTTTTAAGAGAAACATATGGATATATATATATATATATTTGAAATGTGAATTGCATCTGCAGAAGTTGCATAATCTTATCCTAAGGAGAGGAGCTTGCATGGAGTGTGGATTGTGTTGTAACTCTCTCCTCCCCTTTTGCAAAGCACAAGCTAGTGATTGTCATTAGCACTGAGCAGAGAAATCTGTGCCAAAGGGTGACAGAATAAAATGTAATCCCCCATGTCAGCTGCTGGGTGTGATGCCACGGAGATGCACGTCCCCTGTGTCTGCCAGGCTGTCTCTCTCTGCTCTGGAAAG